TTGACCTATACCAATTCTCCAATTGAAAGACATAGACGGTTTGACTTTTAAGATTGGAATTAAATTTTAATTATGACTTTGTAATTTAATTTAATTAATTTATTTATTTTTTTGGTTTAGATCAAGATGTAAAGGCTCAATGTGGGATTCTAGAATGGTATGGCATTTATTCATGGAACACCTTATAAATGACTTGTATGTGAATGAAGTTTTAGGATTTTAAAAGTATGTATTTTTAGAGTTTAGAGTTTAGGAGTGAGAAGTTAGAGATAAGAGGTTATGAAAGGTTTGACTTTCGACTTAAGATTTGACCTTTGATTTTTAAGGTTTATGAATTTTGTTTAGGGTTTAGGGTTTAGGATTTAAGGTTACGATTAACTTCAGTTTTAATATGGGCGTTGATTTGGACTTTGACTTTTTTATTAGATTTTAGTCGTCACCTTGACTTTTATATTATTTTTAGATAATAACTTTGACACTTGGGCTTTAAACTTTGAACTTTGAGTTTGTAAATACAAAGTATAAATATAAAATATATATACAAATTTTAAATATAAAATTTAAATTATAAAATAAATCCTAACTTTTATATTTGTGGATCTATTCTAAATGGATTATACATGTTGGCAGCAAGTGGCTCCAAATTGACCAATAAAATAGCATGTTGTACCAACACAGTCTTCAAAAACACCTTGTTCTTTAAAAGTTAAAAGTAAAAATAAAGGTTAAAGAAATTATAAAAATAAAAGTAGAATGAAAATATTAAAGTTAGAATTAAAATAAAATTTGAAAATAAAAAATAAAAAATATAAGTTTAAGTTTAAATTAAAGTTAAAATTAAGATAAAAGTTAAAGTTAGAATTAAAGTGAAGGTAAATAAAAAAAATGGTTAAAATTTAGGATTTAAGGTTTAAGATTTGAAGGTTTAAAGATTTAGACTTTAAGATTTAAGGATACATTGATGTCTTGTAGAAAGATTTAGTTTTTAGGATCTAGGATTAAGGATTATGATTTAGGATTTAGAGTTAAGAATTACAATTTAGGATTTAAAGTCATAAAGGTGTCTCATAGCATTTTGACTTTTTATTTTTGGATTTTTAAGGCACTTATCTCCCTATTTTTAAGGTGAAGCCACAAGATGGATGTGAGTCCTACAAATTGATCTTAATTGGTAGATTAATTAAAAACATAGTTTTAAGTCATTCAATTATACAAATATTAAGATTAGAAAGTCTTTTTGACTATTCAAGTATTTATTATAATTTAGAAGTATCCACAAGTTACAAAAGTCTTATTAGATGAAAAGTTATAAAAATAGAGTCTTAGTAAGTCTTGGAAGCAATTATCTTAGTTAGTTTATTATTTTCTTATTGTTAATTATTAAGAATTAGTTATTGAGACCAATATCTTCATTGGCTCCTATTAACATGTATTACTTATAAAATCCTATCAATGATTAGTTAGTAGTTAGAAGAAGCATGAAAAAGAGCTTCATGTCTTTTTAGTTAATTATATAAAAAAATAGGATTTTTAGTGGATTTAAATTAATTTTATTACTATAAAAATTACTAAGATAGAAAAATATAATCTCATATGGATATTAGTATTATAAAAAAAATTATAGTATTTTTTAGAATTTATTTAGAATTCATTTAGAATTTTTTATAAATTTTTAGAGAAAATTTCAAGACTTAGATAAAATTGAGTTTTACCACCTTGGGAACCATTATGAAGAAATGAAGCAAGATTTGAAGATTGTACAAGGTTTCTAGGCTGATTAGGTATTTTTGAACACCATGGTGAAGTCGAAAATACAAAAAAAAAAAAAAAAAAAAAAAAAAAAAATTACTAGTAGAAAATAAGAGGACTAGCAACTAATGTAATCCTTGTAGGAAGAAAAGTGCACAATTTCCATGTGGGTTGTAGCACCTTGGATATATGTAGGAATATAAGACTAAGGCCTCAAGTACTCTATAGACAACTCTTACACACTACATGTGAGCCTTGGTGATGCTCGAATCCCTAATCTATAAATAAGTTACCCTTGATGTAAAAATTATTCACTTAACTTATCCATTATTTATATTCTATCTTTAATCTATCATAACTTACTCATAGTACCTTGAAATTACGTGATTTTTATGTCATTAAAAATATAAAAAAAATCTATCTAAAAATATATTTTTTAATTTTTAATTTTACTTTTTATTTGATGAAAATCCAATGAAAAAACCTTGACTTAGTTTTAGGTGTTGTAATTACTTGATTTCATTTCTTTCACTTGTATTGTGGTTGTTCTTCTTTAGTTTTTACCAATTTCTTACTTTACTTCATCCAAAAATTACAAGAAACTCTTAAATGAGGCCATCTTGTAATTGGAGCTGAGGAGTGATATTCACTCTGATAATAGGCATTATCATTTAGTCTTGATTGTTGGTATTATTAATTAACAAGCTATAAATTACAAAAAGATATCATGAATTATAACTTGAGAGATGGCAATCTCTATGTCATTTAGACTAATGATAAAGAATTTGAGATAAAACATACAAAAAGCTTCAAAATATAATAATATAAATTAGAATCTCAAGGATAGAGATTTTTTTCTTCTTCTATAATAATATAATTTTGGCACCTTTAAGATTTTGGAAAGATTGTGTATGTAGCAATGGCTTTTGTATAGATCCAAAAGTTGTATCATTAAGCATGATAGCTATAAGTGTTATTTCCACATCAATTTGGATGTTTTTTTTTCCTTTTATGAAGTTATAATTTTAAAAGATCTTCAGAGGTTTAGGATTCTTCATTTACGTCAATTAGAGGAATATTACATATTCTAAGTCATTGTTGATATCATACCATGAGAAATTTTTTCATGTAAACATGGTATTTTTTTATTTCCTTCAAATATATAAAATACATATTATTGCAAGGAATTAACAAAAATAGATGAAGTTCTAACCAAGTTTGATTAGAACCAAAATTAAACAATAATATGTTAAATCTATACTTCTATTAGTTGTTTTATTAGACCAACTAGTTTAGAGTGGCTACTCAACTGACGATTCTGCTAATACACAAGTTCTACATGACATAGTTTGAAACTATGTGATAGCAAGGAAATTGCCTATTGTTCTTTTCAAGCATGTCAACCATAGTGTATGACAACCAACCATATATTTTGACATAGTTTCACTAGAGAATAAAGAAAATCATTAAAGACCGCATCAAAATTTTAAAACATGACAAATTGAATTTTTTTGTGACGACTCATTGCATCACGAACGTGACGAGGGATACAACAAACATACAAAATATTTTTCAAATATCTTCAAATATGCTCAAATATTCTATGGATATTTCAAAAATATACTAACATGACTAACAAGTAGATACATATGATGGTTGGATGTAATAGATGTGACATCCATTAGATTTCATAACCTTAGACCATGTCATTATGCTCAACTCATTTGTTAGAATTAATAACCTCTTTGAATGGACTAGATGGGCTATTTGGAAGGTTAGTTGATTTTTTAGATTCTACTTAATGTGATATTTGAAGATGTGCTTAATAGAGTAAGAGCGAGGTTGCAAGTGCCCGTGATTGTTTCAACATCTTGTAAGGTTGATCTTTTTCGCATCCTCAAATATCACATTTGCCAAAGCTAGTCCTCAAATGCAATAGTTGATGCAATCGTCATAAGTGCATTACTTCATGTATGCTTGCTAAAATCTTGTTTTGTCTCTCATGGGGTGCTAAAGCTCAACTAAGATGGTGGTTGATGCTACCACATTTTGAAGATGCACAAGGTCAAGTTTAAAACATAGCTACTTAAATTTAAGAAATGTATTGTAGATATTCATTATCAATAACTAGGAGATTGATAAGGTATATAGAAAAGGAATTGAGGCCTATTTTTTACAAGGATTTTGAATTCTCATGTTCTTTATTAAATATATACAAGTATAGTCCCTCTTCTGTTATATTTTGAAAGCTAGGAATGAATGTCAATTGTGAGTTGTATTTTTGATGTGAAATAATTATATAGAATATTCTATATAAGTCTAAGTATGTTATTTTTATAAAGCCTGAAAATAGCAATTGTTTGATCGGAGCATACTAGAATCATTGGCTTTATAATTGGAATTGTTTCTATATTAACTACCTTAAAGTTTTCTTGCTTATGGTTTTTTATTTTTTTATTTCAAATGCCAAAAGTAGAACAAACAAGAACACCGTGTGGTTTAGGGTTTAAGGTTACATGGGTGTCGTTGAAAAAATTGGCTCATTAATTTTGAGTTTTGACTCATCCTCATTTTCGGGATCTACAATTCTAATGGTACATATTTTTATTTATTTATTTATTTATTTATTTATTTTTCCCGACAAGTTTTTCATTTGGAAGATATAGGAGGTTTGACTTTCAAATTTAGATTGACTTTTTGAGTTGTAGGATTTTGAAAGTAGGTATATTTAGATTTTGACTTAACCTATACCCCCATTTTTGGGATCTACAATTCTAGTGGTACAATTTTTTTAATAAGTTGCGAAGAAGCTGGGAGGAATATGGTACGACAAGTAAGATGTTACAAGAAGCTACGAGTGTGCTATTGTACCCAGTACCTCACAGAGCCTCGACATTGTCAGCGTTTCTTTTACCTGGCGACAAAATTTCGCCAGACACTGAGAGGTGGCACCCTTAGATTTGTTCAAATCTGGAGGGACCAACCACCACTGGCTGAATGGGGTCTGCTACATGACAAACGAATCGTTGGACACGGTACTCAGACAGATGTAGCAACACTTGGATCCACGTAGAGCAACTTGAGGAGGGCATCTTTACCGATGATACCCGCTTTTATTTGATGACGCTGCCGATCAGAATCAGACACTATTCGAGATCGTACCATACCCCCAAATTAGATCAACTTGCTGTACCTACCAGCTGAAGGACAGGAGATGCTGAAAAGATCAGCTTGCCTAGGTTGAAAAGGGAGCTGCTGCCGGGCTGCCGGGCACCCAGAGCCAAGCAATGGCCGACTGAACAAGACATTCATGACTGCATGAGCTCTCACCCCGGCCGCTGCCGCCACATGTTTCCCTTGCAGGGCGCCTTTAGGTCGGTCGTTGCTTTGCGTTGCAGAGATGAAGGTCGATATGATCACGAAGTGTCTACTGTAATGGCGAGGTGTTGGTAGGCTTAAGTAGGAATTCATCAGCTCCTCGATCTTCAGCAGCAGTCGTGATCCCTGTTTGAGTTAGAACTTGAACCCAAGGGATCGATGGCGTAGTCCATTCCTGGAGGCTGTGGAACTCCGTCCCACTGCCAGTATTGGTCCAAGGGCACCGGTCAGAATAATTCCTGCCAAGATTGCGGTCGCTATGCGCCCACCGCCGGTGTGGGATACAATTTCTGCTCCCAGTGCTATACCAAATCGTGTACGAGTTGCGCTTCTCTCAAGCTGCAAGGAGGTGCAACACAGTCACGGTCACGTGGAAGCCCAAGCTACGATTCGGACGATGATGGCGAGAAGAATCCAGTAACGCCGTCTGTAGTATCGATGGCGGAGACCGTGCTAGGAGGGTGTGGAACCCCGTCCCACAGCCAACTTTATGGGTTTAACGGTGGGGGTGACACTATTGCCTGCGACGATTGCGGTCGCCCGGTGCCTGGCAACGCCGATGTAGGGTACTACTTCTGCAACCAGTGCCATGTCAGTTCGTGTGTGAGTTGCACTTCTCTCAAGCAAAGCCATCCGGGCTCGTTCAATGCTCCACGGGAGAAGAAAACCTTCAATGCAGCTCAGTCGTCGCGTGCAAGCCCAGGGACGCGGACTTCTTACAAGGGGAAGATCAGCTACGATTCGGACGATGATGGCGAGGAGAATCCGGGAATGCCGTCTGTGGAATTGATGGCGGAGACTCCCATTCCAGGAGGGTGTGGAACCCCGTCCCACTGCCAGTATTGGTCTAGGGGCACGGGTCAGAATATTGCCTGCCAAGATTGCGGTCGCTATGTGCCCACCGCCCGTGTGGGATACTATTTCTGCTCCCAGTGCTACGCCAAATCGTGTATGAGTTGCGCTTCTCTCAAGCTGCAAGGAGATGCAAAACAGTCACGGTCACGTGGAAGCCCACAGCAGCAGGCAACTGCAGCAGCGCAGGTGAATTGATCTGCTCTGGGTCAGAGATTCGTTTTTCGGTAGTAAAGCAGTTTCAATTCAATATTGCTAACATTTGATTGTATCAGAGATCCCGTGGGCTTCCGCAACAGACTGTGAATGCAGCACAGTCTTCACGTACAAGCCCAGCGACGCGGAATTCTTACAAGGTGAACAGCAATCCAGTAACGCCGTCTGTAGAATCGATGGGGAGGGCCATTCGAGGAGGGTGTGGAATCCCGTCCCACGTCCAACGTTATTGGTGTAACGACAGGACTATTGCCTGCGAAGATTGCAGCCGCCAGGTGCCCACCGCCGGCGTAGGATACTACTTCTGCAACCAGTGCGAGGTCAGTTCGTGTATGAGCTGCACTTTTGTCAAGCAAGGCCATCAGAGCTCGTCCAATGCTGCTCCATCTTCACGTGCAAGCCCATTGGTGCTGGCTTCAGACGACGACAACGACGACGACGAGAAGCCAGTACTGCCGTGTGCAGGATTGCTTACCCATTCACTCGAATTCCTGCAGAAATCACCTTACTATGGCAACTGTTTTGGCTGTAACATGTGTGGGGAAGCAGGCTACAGCGAGCTCTACCACTGCGAATCTTGCCAATTCGCCGCACACAAACAGTGCGCAGAAGTCGAGGAGGAAGTCAAGGTAACATCATTCTCTGTGACATTGCAAGTGTTTTCAGTTTCCACACAATTCATTGGTCGTCCCACTTTGCACAGAATGAAATTATCCATTGTCCTGATCAGTCTCATTTGAGCCAACAGATATGTTGGCAGTAGTTAGTTTGTAAGGACTTATCTTGTCCCAAGAAATCTGACAGTAAGTCCCACGGGTTCAAATCTGGAGCCTAGAGCTTTAACAGGCTCAATTGACGTGTGTTGTGGTGTTCAGGTTTTCTACCACAAGCATCCGTTGCAAAGATATTACACAGGTGAAGATGAAGAGGACATCATTTGCCAATGTTGCCAGGGAGAAGTAGAGGAAGATGTCAGCCCTTGGGTGTACAAGTGTCCCGACTGCACCAACTTTGCTGTGCATGCGCGCTGCGCGAAGTACGCCAAGTCGTTGACGCATGGAAGCCATCCTCATAAGCTCAAGCTGGTGCACAAGTCATCGAAAGGCAAATCCCGGCAATGCGGTTGCGATGGATGCGGCAATGAAATACTCCACACCTTCCATTACACTTGCACCAAGTGGGGGTGTGACTTCGATCTGCACCCGTTGTGCGCGGTGCTTCCAACCAAGCCTCTTTGTCGAATGAATCCTTCTCACCGTGTGGAGATAGATTATTTTCCACTGGCGTCTGAGCAGTGCGCCCTTTGCGATTCCCCGTCAGATGAAGCCTGGTTGTATCGATGCCGCATCTGTGATGTGTCCATGCATGTCGACTGCTTCAGTGCTGAGACAGACGAAGATTCCAGCGATGACGAGGATGACGAGGAAGACGAAGATTTGGGTGAGCTATATCAGAAATTCATAGATTCCATGGACGATTTCGGCAACCAAGGCAATGAGGAGAAGGTGGACAAGCTCTCGGAGCTCGTGAATAGCTTCAAGAGCACCACGGAAGCTGCAGCAGCTTCGTCGCTTCCCAGACAAAGTTCAGGTTTGAATGCGACAACCAGATCCTTTCACAGTTTCTAACATTCTATGAGTCGTCTGCCATGTCCATAGTTCGCAGTGCAGAGTTGGGGGTTTGGGGTTCAGGGTTTAGGCACATGCTCAAGAGCGGACAGTGATAAAACCCTTAATGACGTCACTGAAATGGTGTTGTTTATGTGCAAAGTAGTGACATCAAGGGTGCATCCGAAGGTTAGCTCACTTGCTCGGAGTGAGACGCACATCTTGGATCAAGGGTTCGCGAACATGAGTCTGGGCGACTGCTCACCATCCAGATATCAACGCGACAGCTCACCACCCCCATATTTCCCAGATGACAACCCACAATCCACATATTCCCCAGGCGGCAGCCCAGATCTCGCGAGAGCGACGCATCGGAGGAAGAGCGTCGAAGGATCAAGCAGGCCGCCAAGGAGCAAAGGCGGAAAGAGAAGGCAGCAGCGAGGGAATTGCAGGAGCAAGAGAAGGCAGCGCGGAGAGAAGAGAAGGCGAAACGGGAAGCGAAGGTAATTGCTGAATTGCAGAACATCGCAATACAGCTCCAGAAGAACCAGAACAGCAAAGACTCTGGAGGCAATGATGCTACTGTCGGTCAGAAGCTCGCTGAGTTGAAAGCTATGACGGAAAACTGGCAAGCGTCAGATGCGAGGCGACACCAGGAGCAAGCCAAGTTCAACGAGGAACGACATCTCGAGCAAACCAAGCTACATCACGAGCAAGGCAAGCTCAACCAGGAACGACATCTCCATCACACCAAGCTACATCATGAGCAACTCAAGCTACAGCACGAGCAAGCCAAGCTACAGGACAAGCGACATCTGGAGCACACCAACCTACTGCAGGAGCGAAATCAGGAGTATCTGAACGGATTGCAGGAGATCATCAACACGCAGGTAATCACCCCCACTCAGTGACATGATCAATAGGGAGTGTTTCCACTATCCCAAATCGATTGTGTTGTTACACTCTGTCCCATTTCATGTACAGAATGTACGTAATTAATGACTTGAGAAGTCTCCACGTTTGAACTGAACTGTTGTTGTCTGTAGGTGTTCTAATCTCTCTCTCTATTCAAGTCTCTGTCTAGACATTCTGTATCGTCCGATTTCTTTTAGTACATTCTTGTCTCAGTCAACCTGAAAACACTCTCATTATGTGAACTGAAATGATGTTATTCAGGTGCAATCGACGACGCGTGTAGTGCCGCGTCTCGTTTTGTGCACGGAAACGTCGAGTAGGGTGAAGAAACTGATCACGAGCCTCCGAGTGGGCATCAAGGTCGTGCAGCTGCACCTGTTTTGCGAGCACGCACAGCAGCCGCACGTCGTGGCCGGCGCGCCGGGCTGCGAGATCAATCAGAAGGTTGCAGGCGATCGATGGACCAAACTTCAGCCGTTTCTCGCTGCTGGATTGATGGTGGTCAAATTGGCCCTTAACTTTGGCACCACGATGGGCGCCGGGGTGGGCGTTCTCAAAGACGTTTTGCCCGACTTGCATAAGATGGTAACCCCATTGACCTGAATCGGGAGAGACTTTTTTCAGTTTCCAAACCTCGTCGGTTGTGCTGTTGCAGTTTGTCAAGCTATGGTGTAGGGTCTCATACCGTGTATAGAGTCTCTCTCTAGACCCCTGGTGCATGTTTGCCTCAAATAACCTAAAAACACGCTCATCTGAATCCCGATTTGAATTGAACTGGTGTTCAGGTGTTGGAAACCCAGGCCATCGACCTCGGGAAACACGCCGTGCAACCAGCCCGCTGCAAAGTACTCCCCAGACAGGAAGCGGAAGAAGCGGAAGTAATGGCAACGCAGTGGCTGGTATCCTACTTGAATGACCAGAAGGTCAACATCGCGGAATCCTTCAAACTGTTCCGCGTCCGCTACACAGCTCCCGAGCACATCAAGGGCACCGTCGGTTGCCTCTGCTTCAACCACCTTGATCGCGGCATGAAGGATGGTTCCCTTGAGCATTTCCCCCTGCGCTGATAATCAAGTACCCGGATGAGCCAGTCCATAGCCTCACGTCTATACACACATAATTAGTCAGTAGTCCAAGATGCAATCGGCGTCTATATATACATCCCGAAGGATCACTTGCTTTCAAATTCTATCTCCTTTTCACGAGTTCCTCAGGTACGTGGAGGATTGAAAGATTGGCATAGTCTGCAGATCGCTCCGCCGATATATATATATATATGTGCTACATTCGGTTTCTGATGATAAGCATGTCTGGCTAATTTGCTGGCAGCCGTATCAGTACATAGGTGCTTCGACGCGACCGTACTGCTGCGTCACGCACGATATTTATACCACTGCTTCAGAACGAAGTTCAGCTTCGTCGGATGGTTGGCAATTAATGCGACCTAGATTGTATGTTTACAAATAATTGAAGTATGAAGTGGGAAATAACTCTGAAAGAGTGCAAAGACTCTAAGGTGAGTGACAAGTTGTTTGAGCTTTCTCGTTACTTACTGAGCTTGTAACCTTCCGTAAGGATACGTACATGATGCTTGTCTGTTGTGACCACACTGTCAATGCTGTCCAGCCAATTGCACTTTCAGATGATGCAATTTTTCCACGAGCTTCCAAAGCCCAGCCACAAACATAGAAAACCATAAGCATGTGCGTGCTGCTAGAATGTGCCTAATCACGGGTTGTGATGCTGGAAGTAACCTTCATGGCTCAAATACCTTCGTTTGGAACGATGGCACGAATTGCACCGTTCTAATCCGACTTGCACCGCTTTCAACCACAACTTTGGGAATAAAGATTTAATGTAGCTGAAATTCATAAGGAAAGAGAATATATGACAATTCTAAACGTATGTTAATTTTTTATATTGTTTAAAATTTAATTTATTGTAGAGTATTGATTATTGAAAATATGCTATATTTGGGATTTAGGGGTTGGGAGTACTATTGAGTATCCATACTTTGGAATTTGAAGTTGAAATTTTGATGTATTGTTTTTTAAGGTGATTTACACCTCTTAGGGCATTGTGACCCTTATATGCTCAAAGTTACTTGCTAAGCATTGGTTGTGTCTAAATTTGTCCATAATAGTCCATAGCTTTCATCTTTTCTATTCTTACTTGACCAAATAAGCTATTACTCCTCATTAGATCCACTATGACCAAGTACAAATAGACAATGATAGAGGTACTCTAGTACATTCAAACAAATATAAATACCAATTAATTAAACTTAGGTGAGCATAGATCCATAAATAAGTTTAGAGTTTAGGGTTATAAGGGTGTCCTCGATTCTTTAGCATCAATATTTTTAGATTTTGACTTGACTTACCTCTCCATTTATGCTATCTAGGATTTCAATGGTATAATTTTTTTCCTATATATATTCATAGTTTGAGAAATATAACTACTTTGACTTGGACTTGAGGATTTTGACTTTTGTCATACAAAGATTTTTAAAATTTATGAAAAGCTTGTTGGATCCATTTGAGAGTTGCCCATTCTAAATATGTACTTGAAGTTTTCAAAAAGTGTATACATTTGTAGATATTAAGTGTTTGACTATTTTGACTTTTGATTTGACTTTGTATATGAATAGGAAATTTTAAGTTTTGATTTGACCTACCTCCTCATTTCAAGGGTCTAGAAATGTAGTGGTGGACTTGAAATCCTATACATGTTTTTCAATTTTGAGATGTAAGGCATTTGACTTGATACAATTTTCTATTAATTTTTTTTGTACTTTATCTTTTTAAAGTTTTGATTCAATCTATCCTCCTATTTATGATGCTTTTGATTCTAATGGTATATTTGAAATCTTGAGCAAGTTTATAGTTTAGAAGATATGAGGTTTTCAAAATCGCAAAAGTTATTTTTGATTAATATACGAAAATATATATATATATATATATATATATATATATATATAATAAATACATATAGGCACCTAGATATAATACTAACATATTAAATAGAATATATATGTATATATCATTTTTTTGTTTCAAAATATTATATATATACTACTTTTTGTATATACTAGTATTTAGGATTTAAGGTTTAGGGTTACAAGGGCGTCCCATAGGTTTTTGATCCTAAATATCTCATAGTTTATTACATAATTGTCAATTTTGAAATTTTTCCAAAGACCTATACAAATGCTTTTGTTTTTCAAAATTATGTGTTTGATTTTTCAAAATTTAGGGTTTGAAAATCCTAATTAGGATTTGTAGATTCTAATGAAGAATCTAAATTTCAGATTTGTTAGGATGTAAGATCCATGCATAGAGTGATAGAGACATACCTTGATTATTTTCAAAAGTGAGGATTAAGCCGAATGTAAAAGCCAAGTAGCATTATCTTGAAATGAGCATAATTCTTTTTGCACGCTTATATTGCCTATGTGACCACCTCCTATAACATTCAACCTTATGAGCAATTCATTAAAATGCTATCACATTCATATGCAAAAGTAAGTAGTGCTTAAAATAGATACAAAACTTTGCTCAGCAAAAAAAATGAACATATATTCACAATGAACATATAAACTATACAATCTATATTTTAGTAGAGGAGGTAATCACCTCCTAGCATTTGTTGGGATCTATGAAGGCAAGATAACAAAATCTTTGACATTGGTATTAATCCTGTGAGCTTTGTTAGTACTAAACCTTGGTCGTTCATCCTTCAACAGGATCTTGATGCTCCACGAGGATCATCCTTCAATAAGACCTTGTCATTCCAAACGCTAGCATCTTCTTGAGGGTGGGCAAGCAATTACACTATCACCACAAGGGCTACATGGTTAGCCTCTGACTTATATTTTGAACAGACATAATAGATTATAATCCTTGATAGGATCAAGATTGTGAATAGAATTACTAGTAAGAAGGAACAAGGCTTTTTGTTCTTCGTATTTATGGAATTAGAGTTGAAGTTCATACAATGATAAGGTAGTTTGGAAATTGAGATGCATTAAAATAGAAAGTAAGGTTATCCTCAACAAACTTGTGACTTCTTATATCAACCTTTGTTAATGTATTAAAACAACACCAACCTGAAAACTAAATAATGTAAATATCATGAATATAATCCTCAGCACAAAGCAAACATAATCATCCATGTCACTCCAATTCTACGATGGATAGAAAATAGCACCTTGTTATTAAAATTGAATAAATATTAGCATACACAAGGTCACTTATTAAAAGGACGGAATGTTATCTTTTGATCAGATTTTGAGTTAAGCCCCTTAGCATTTAGGCAATCTTAATTGTGTTAGAACAAATGACTATCACCTAGTCTAGGTCCAACTTTCTCTCCTAATTTGCCCACTCTCCACCTGCTACACTATCAGCTCTTTGTCCTCGTTCTCCTCCACCTGCCATCGCTCTTTTTAATCCTACCATTCAAATACCTTCATTCGCATCCTGGACATGCTCTATAAGCATCGACGCAACAGTAATGGTATCGTTGTCTACTGTTGGTGCATCCAGTGCACAATTGATGTCGCTGTGCACCTTGAATCTCCATCATTGACTTTTGAAGGCACTCCCATTGGCGACGTTCGTGTCAATCCCAGATGCATCTACAAGTACAGCCTCCAATGCTCTCTTGTGCTCAATATTGATAGTGTTCGCATCGAGTTCAAATGATCCAAATGTTGCCAATATGCCAATACCACTGACGAGAGAGCATTGGAGGTTTAAGATTTAGGGTTTAGATTTTAGAGTTACAAGGGTGTCCAAAGGTTTAGGACTTAGGATTGAGGAGTTACAAGAGTGTCCAAGAGGTTTTTGATCCTAAATATCTCTCAATTTATCATTATTTTTTTCATTTTGAAATTTTGCCAAGCCTTATATTGTCTCAAAGACCTCTATAAACATTTTTGTTTCTCAAAAACATGTGTTTCATTTTTCATAATGAAGGATTTAGGAACCCTAATTAGGATTTGAAGACCCGTATTCAGAATCTGAGTTTTATATTTGTTATCAAGTGAGAACTGTGTATAGAGTTGGAATGCATATCAAATTTTGCTGTACCAAAACAAATCTCAGATGTGTGGCATTACAAAATTTGTCGTCCATATTGAATAGATGGCTTGTGGATTGTGGGTCTTAGGATCTTGGGGTTCTAAGGTCTTAGGATTCTAAGATTTTAGGATTCTGGGATCTTAGGGTTCATGGATTTTGGGATCTTAGGGTTCTAGGGTATTAAGGTTCTAGGGTCTTAGGATTCTAGGGTTCTAGGGTTCTAGGGTTTTGGGTTACAAGAAAGTTCTAGAGGTTTTTTATTCTATATATCTTTCAATGTATTATAGTTTTTTCCATTTTGAAATTTTGTCAAACCTTATATTGTCCTGAAGACCTCTATAAATATTTTTGTTTCTCAAAAGTATGTATTTTATTTTTCATAATATAGGATTTAGGAACCCTAATTAGGATTTGAAGACCCGGATTCAAAATCTGAGTTTTATATTTGTTATCATCTGAAAACTGTGTATAGAATTGGAATGCGTACCAAATTTCGCTACACCAAAATAAATCCTGGATGTGTGGCATTACAAAATTTATCGTCTAGGTTGATTAGATGGGTTGTGGATTGTGGGTCTTAGGATCTTAGGATTTTAAGGGATCTATGATCTTGGGATTCTAAGGTCTTAGGATTCTAGGGTCTTAGGGTTCATGAATTCCGGAGTCTTAGGGTTCTAGGATTCTAGGGTTTTGGATTACAAGAGTGTCCTAGAGGTTTTTCATCCTATATATCTCTCAATGTATCACAATTTTTTCCATTCTAAAATTTTACCAAGCCTTATATTGTTCCAAAGACCTTTATAAATATTTTTGTTTCTCAAAAATATGTGTTTCATTTTTCATAATGTAGGGTTTAGGAATCCTAATTAGGATTTGAAGATCTACATTCGGAATTTGAATTTTATATTTGTTATCATATAAGAACTGTGTAGAGTTGGAATGTGTATCAAATTTTGCTGTGCCAAAACAAATCTCGAGTGTAAAGCATCACAAAATTTATCATCCAAGCTAACTAAATGGATTGTGGGTTGTAGGTCTTAGGATCTTAGGATTTGAGGGTCTTAGGGTTTGAGGGTCTTAGGGTCTTAGGATCTTAAGGATTTGAAGGTCTTAGGGTTCTAGGGTCTTAAAGGTTCTAGGGTCTTAAAGGTTCTAGAGTCTTGGACTTCTAAGGTGTTAGGGTTCTAAGGTCTTAGGGTTCTAGGGTCTTAGGGTTCTAAGGTCTTAGGATTCTAGAGTCTTAGGGTTCTAGGGTCTTATGGTTCTACCAAGTTTAGAATTTAGGATTTAAGGTTATAAAAGTGTCCTAAAGGTTTTTGATTCTAAATATCTCTCAATGTATTATAGTTATTTCGTTATGAAATTTTGCTAAGCCTTATATTGTCCCAAAGACCTCTATAAACGTTTTTGTTTTTCAAAAACATGTGTTTC